GCAGCCTTGCAAGTGCTCATATACCTGACGTGTTACACCATAATGTATATTCGAGGTTCGAGTTTCTTAAGATTCTGCAGTTTCAAGATATTACTTCAATATGGGGGACATGCATTACATGCGTCCAAGGACGCGCGCGGCAACTTGCGCGGCGAAGTTCGTGACGATTTCTACGACTTTGACGCCAATTTTCGGGGCACAAACTCGAAGTAGAGCTGTTTAGTAGGGCCAGATGAACCTTCTAATCATCTCTACTTCAAATTTGGGCCTCAATGATATACGCTAAAGTCGTTCAAATCGCTACGAACTTCGCCGCGCAATTTGTCGCGCGCATCCTCGGACGCACGTAATGTGGTCAAGTCGTGCGTCCGAGAGTGCGCGCGGCAAATTGCGCGGCGGAACCCATACCTTTTCTGACGACTTTAGCGCCTATTACTTGTGCCCAATTTTGAAGTACAGTAGAATAGTAGGATCAGCTGACCTCACTAATTTACCCTACTTCAGTTTTGGGCCCCAATGGTAGGCGACAGAGTCGTCCAAATTCGCCACGAACTTTGCCGCGCGCCCCCTCGGACGCACGACTTGACACACCCCCCATCGACAGATGGATGACAATGCCCAGGACGCAATGATTTGCGGACATGAGAGTTATGGCGTGAGAGAAATTTTTTCGCGGTGATGAAATTCTTCCGCGGACTTTCGGTTATCGGAAGTTTATGATTTTTAAGATGTATGGATCATGAAAATCTTAATTAGGCAATGTCTCATTCGAGGAAGTGACTCAATAATGACCTTTTGATGGCCAGATTATGGTAAGTACGGTATCGAGCTTGGGTAGAAACGGTGAGCTATAATAATTAGCGGTAACCGGTCCCGTTTGCTATTCTGGCTCAACTTCTAGCCGCGTCTACCCCTATGTGGAGCACCTTGTTTGAGTTGACTAATTGCTGAGTTGTCTTCAGAGGGTAGCTCTGATGAAACTGCTCTTTTAAAAAATCTGGCGGGAGGAAAAGGAATTAAGGAGGATAAGAGGAAAAATGAAAAGAAATTTGTGATGATAAATGATCTTTGAAATCCACAAGCATCGTCATCCGCTAGCCTTAAATTGGAAATTAAAATTTTCGCAGAATTACAAACATTACAATGAAATCAGTGGCAATTAAGTGGAGTACGATAGCTTCTTTTATACTTTCAAAGCTGTAGGCATTGGTCGGAAAACTTATCAGCTGATTTACTCTCACGTGTCTTGTACCTCATCATGTCCTAATGAAAAAAACGTGCATTGTTGCCCATGTCTCTATACATTCTCGGGAAGGGCTTTTTCATTTCAATCGAGTTAAAAATAAGAACGCCTGTTTCCGTAACCAGCATCGTAAGACGATGCGTACGATATCAGTACTGGTTGTCATCTACGTCTGCACGTGGGTTCTGTCGATCGTCATAACCCGCTTCGCTGATTTTGTATCGAGTTCCGCCTGGAGACGATTACTATGGATGATAGCGGTGGGAAGATTACTGTTATTTCTCAGCCAGTACTCAAGCTCAACACATTTCAGAGTTTGCTGCAGATGCTGTGCTTCATACAAACGTTTTACGTGTGCTACCAAAGGAGCTCTGAATATCGCAACATATTTCGTCGCCTGCGCAAGTCGATTAAATGGCTCCAGAAGGTCAAAGATATTGGAAGTACTGTTTGCCATGGTACAGAAGCAAGTCAGGCCAAGAGGGTGTTTTTCATAACTAAGTGACGCCAAAAAGGTGTCCGAAGGTGTGTGGCTTTTCCCGAGGAAACCGATTCGACGTTGATGATCAGAGTAGTATGAATGCCCTGATCTCAGTCGATTGGCTACCAACTTCCTGCCGCAGAAGTTTGGTGAGGGGGATGGGTATCTCGTAGACCTACCTGGACAACTGATCGATATTTCTACTTGGCACCTNTGATTATCCCTTCATAACGCCTAAGTAACGCTGCCTACATACTTCGAATCCAGAATTCCTTAGGAAGGGCTGGTCACCTTCGTCCAACTAGCCAAGTAAAGCACTCACTACAGGCGCTTTCCTCATCGTTTACCTCCATTTTTGCTCAAGCCAATGTTTTCTCTTTCGTCTGGACTGAACTCATCTCGCTTAGACTTCCCAGAAGGAATGGTTGTCCTCTCAGGAATATACGTTATTGGAAGGGCAATACCCGGCAATAGGAATACCTGCCTTCACAACAAATACTAGAGCAATACCTAGCATGTCTATTGTAAATCACTGCGGCTTTCCTTTCTGTACTTTCCGTAACAACAAGAGAAAATTGTACTGGTGCAATGGAATTTGTAAATATTTGACGTAATAAATAAATAAATATTCATGACTATAGTAACAACTGTCTTGACATGCTGTATCCCCTTTTCTTTCGAAGCATCCGTTCAACGAAAGCGAATAAGCAAAACGCGGAGAACGGAGAGGGTCGACCTTTGAACCGAAGTGTTTAAGAATTGAAACTTGAAAGGGACAAGGAGTATCTCATTAGCGATGACATCGAGGCGCATTGCCTCTCTCCCCTCTAGCATTCCTCGTTTTTTTTTCTTCGAGCCATTACTCCTTTATGAGCGAAGTTTGAGAGGAGTCTTGTCTCATTGGAGATGATTCGCAGTGTCCCTAAAGAATCTACTCCCTCAACGGTCACAAACCTTCATCACAAAATCGATGCCGTTGGGCTCAACCGTCATACATCTCCTCTGCAGAGGAGATATATTCCTTCTTGACTGATTGACCCACAGCCAGTGCATTTTCATTAACGTAAAACACTTGGATCAATAAAATACGTGAAATTCTGAGTAGACTCTAAGCCTTTTTGCCCTCGTCGTACAATCCTACAGAATCCATTAGCTGACGCAAAGTCGACTCAAAGTACTGTGTTGTTACAAGTAATAATTATCAGAATTGCCTGAAAAAAGTTCATTTGCGTAAAGCGTTTGGACGTCATTTTGCATTTTATTGCAATTTTTACTCTATCACGAAGCAGTAGAAGCTCTGACGCATCAGATAATCTCGAAAATTGTCGCTGATAATTGCTATCACTTCTTAATTGGCGATGCATGTCTGGATAACGTTATGGCACTCAAAAGAAAAATATTGTCACCTAAATGGTTCACAAAAAGAGGAAAACCGAATAGAATTCTGAGAGGACGTGAAATGAAGCACTCATCCGCGACGATCACTGTCCCGTCTTTGTAAAAAGTAGATATGGGCTCCTATGTGCTTGTGGAACAGCTTCATTTATTTAGATGACAGACCTACATCTATACATGCATTCAGCATAAATCAAGAGCGGTAGATCCGATAAGGTATCGCCTCGTATTTTTTGGTGCATACTATGATACGGTGAGCCTGTTTGTCGTGATGACCCCAGAAACCCATTGGCTGCTTTCATAGTCCGCCGGCCGGCGTGCCGGCGTGCCGGCGTGCGTGAGGCAGTGCTAGGGGGCAGGAGGGCGGCAGACGGTCGGTCGAGGGGTTGAAAACAAAGACGAACAAGATCAAAAACCAAACAACCAGGGGCTCGTACAAATGGTTTTTGATCTTGTTTCTCCTTGTTTACAGCAATTCGAGGGGCTGACCGACCGTCTGCCGCCCCCCTCCCCCCTAGCACTGCCTCGCGCACGCGGGTCGCCCGGCCGGCGGACTATGAAAGTAGCCATTTTGATACGAGTACCTCTTCCACGAGCTGGTCGCTAAATCAAGTTTCTCAGACTGTTTTCAATACAAAGACCCATAACGTCAGGAATCTTTTCTGTGTGAAATCTTTCCCAATTCAGAGCAATGAAGCGATGGCTCGAGTGCTACTGATAAATTGAAACAAGCCGATTTGTGTATGATCACAAATTAATATTCCTATTCTTCTGAATCCAGATTGGAATGCGAAAGCCGTAAATGCCGCAGGATGTAACCACTGCTCATGTTAAGTGACAGAAAGCGAGAATAAATAGTAAAACTGACAAAGACCCTCAGAGTGTAACGGCCACTGGAAGAGTTGCGCCTTCCACATCAACAATGAGTCCTTGATAGTTTAGCATGTTACGCCATCTTTGGTGGGGTTTGGATTAAAGGGGATAGAAATTGATAACAGTGGTACGAAACGATAAGGGCCCTCTGGAGACGAAACCCAGTGGTTTCTTTCTTGAATTCCACTATGAAGCCGTGGCGTTTTTTTCATGTGATGTGAGGAGCAATGGGATAATATAGGTCTATGACAGCAACTGTTAAGAGTTGATAATACGTCTTCCGCACTGACTGCCAGCCTCATTAAGAGGTGTGACGGAAGATCGTTGGTGAACAATACTGATAACAGTTGATAGGTGATGATAACGAGCAATGGAAAAAAGCAGCTACTAACTGTAAGTCCGTTCCGCCTTTCTTATTGAAAATGTCTAGGTGAGTACATAACAGGGACGACACGGGCATAGTGGAATATCAACAGAGATTGTTCATTACTGATAAGGAGGGGCTGACAGTAGACCTCATAGACAGAAGCCCCTACCTGCTAACAATACGAAAACTTATTCAGTAAATCAGTTTATCACAAAGTATTCATCTTATAGTAGAAGCAAAAATCACATGCACAACACAACTAAGCGTACTGGGCTTCAAGAGTTCCAAACTTGCTTCAAGAGGGTTTATTACGAAAAACGGTTGAGAGGAAATTTCAAATAAGAAATGTAAGAAGGTCAAACATGGCAAAGTAGAAATAGATGGGTCTGTGAGTGTGGTGGTGATTATCGAGACGAAATCCAGAGCCGGAAACTTCAAGCAATTCCAAGCATCTTTTGGAAAATCTGTGCTTTACAGTAAACGCAATGACATGTTGGAATCGATTAAGATAAAATCTCAAAGAGGGCTCATCAAAGGCAGCATAAACTATTAATAGCCGCAGACATATATACACAAGTGTTACATACAATTTCTACAATTTCTGATCAACACTTCAGATGATCAGAGCACCGAAATGAAAACTATTGGAAGAGTGTAACGGCCGCTATATGACCATTGTCCATAACCTGCAATACAAAATGTTTGCAATTAAAGGTTCAGTACACCATGATTTTGAGGAGCCTAGCTGAAGTGGAATAATGGAAGTCGGCGTAGAATGGTGCAAAATAGCGAAAAGGGCACGAAAATCGGCGGATTTCAAGAAATATACGACTTCAAAAAAGTCGTAAAGGTCATGAGGAGTAGCCCTCAGCTGGTGTAATTGCGTAAAAGACTCGAGGCGCGTTCATAGTACCGACGTCGGGACGCCAACATTGGCGTCATGTCACCCACGTGCACGTTATGACGCCAACATTAACGTCAAGTGATACCTTACAAGTCGATGCTCATGCTGCAGGGTGTGGGCTTAGCCAACAAATAAAATAAAGACTAGGATGTGAAAAGTTTGTCTCAGGAATGCGAGCGAAAAGATAAAAAATACATCTCCCCAAGAAGCCAGCCTACCATAAAAATTTCCCTTGGAGATAGGAAAAAGAAAAAAATATGAATGTAAAGTGTAAATGCGTTGCCGTTTCAGCCGCCAGGGTGTCCCCTACGTAAACGTACTATCCGTTAATGTTCTAACGTCAACGTCCACCAATAGCACGCTCATGTGGAAGAAACCCAGGCACGTGCCTAGGTCGACGTCGGCGTTGTACTATGAAGGTCCTCACAGTCGCAATGGATCACTAATTTTGAACTATCAACATGTGCGCCCCACTGTGAACGGTGCAGTCCTAACAAGATTTCCAAAGAACGGCTGCTTCAGACGTATACGCCTTCGATTTTAGAGCCACGTTTTGTCTTGGTCGTTTTTCGACCCAACAGTGAGCCATACTCTATCCTTGGTGACCCGGGTTCATTCCGTGGAGGAACCGCAGAACATTTGTTTTAGTGAACTGTAACTCTAGGTGAATTGCGGCCAAAATTCTCATACACATGCCCTTCGGCTTTCACGCTTTTGAATTTTTTATTAGAAACACAACTCCTAAGAAAAGTTTTCTGAGTACACACATAAACTCGTTAGATACGGCTCCACCCTGATGTACATGTTATAGGGCTCTCAATCGCATTGTATTCATTCATATCCACACCTCATTATATCCAATACAGTGTTCTAATAAGCCCAGGAAGCAAGGATGTTCATGGACTGTATACGGCACCACTGTTTCAATTATTAGGAAACACGGAACTACTATCAGTGTCTCCGGGGGACCCTTTCGTGCAAGTGAGTCGGCAGCAAACAGGAAACTTCGTTTCCTTTGGCTACCATTCGGCAAATAACCTACTCCTTGTCTATATTGGAGAAGTCTATTTTTGAAAATGGCAAATGACAAAACAAGCCTATTTAATGTGTTGATGAACACACCTCACCCACAACATCAACAGGTAACCGATTGCTTCTTACTGTAAGCCTCGTGAGCGGAAATTTGATTAAATTTTCCATACATAAGCAGATTGAATGCACTAATTGAGGATAGTATGCAATGCTCATTAATCTATAGTGTATTGGTGTTCGAATTTCGAACAGGAAAAGCCATTCTAGATGCCTGGGGACATTTCTCAGACACTGTAGCGGTCGCTTTCTTAGACATGTTCCTTTATTTACAAAATGAGCACAAACTTTGCTATAGACGAAATATGTGAAAAAGGTGAGAAGGAACCAAATGGGTTACAAAACCTTCAAATTTTGTGCTTTATTGCAGTTGTTGAACCGCGATTGTAGGGGTTGCCTTATGATCTCCCTCATCAATAGACCAAATTTAGGTTTCGCGCCCAACGCGAGTATACATAGCTTTTTTATTTATTGATTGAAGTATCTAATAAATGTTCGCATTGATTGTTGTCTCACATAGATATTAGGGTTTAATTACCCAAGTTTTGGGGCCTTAATAAAGTTGTGTTTCGAGGGCATCGTCTTGCTGGTATTCTAACGCGTGGCAACGGTATTATTGACCGAGGCAATATATATTTATATATGGAAACACTTTATGCTTTTATTGAGAGAATTCGAGCAACGCTTCCTCTATAAACAGAGTTTCCTGAAAACGCAGTCGAGAACACGAACAAACCCTAATTATACCTTTTCAGGCTTTTTTTGAGATGGACGTTTTTCTAGAATGAGCAATTATCAAGCACAGGAAATTGTAGACTAATAATAGAAGAGTAAAGCCCTCATGAAAAATGATTTTGAGAAAAAGGGAATTATGGAAATCTCTTGGCATTGATCCCGTTCTTGTGATGTGTTCCCGCTTCGACTCCTACTCGAAATTACAATAGAGCTTCAAAGTCTCGAATCAATCGACCAGATCCGGGGTGTAGAAAGCATAGTTGGCCTGAGCTGGAACCGATCCGAGTTTTGAACCGCGACCATGCGCGTGATAGCTACTTTTGTCACTACGCTACCTCCACCACCTGGCTTCTTCGATTTTTTCTTGGAATATGGTGTCGACTCCATTCTTACACTAATGCTCAATGACAGCTCGCATAGACAAGTAGATGCGGTGTATAAACTCACCTCAACAACAATCTGATCAGTACCATAACAGAACGTTGACCCGAATGGATTCCGATCTTCCTGAGTATTGCGAGATACTACCACTGGCTGTGGTTCTTCATATTCTCCACCTGCCTCGGAGAACACTCCACAAATATCATTGAACTGAAACAAACATGTAGGTAATCTATACAGTTTTCTGTTAGGCATTTTGGTAGGTCACCACTGAAAGATTCAAGACGACAAAAATATTGCACAAAAAGTATCAAACGGAAAAACAGATGGATTAATCACCAATTACACAGCAGTGACCATCAACTAGAGGATTTATTCCTTCAAAGTACTATCCTAGTCAAACCACAGGTATTCCAACTAGTCGCAGCCAGCTAGCCATAACAAATATTACGTGGCGATTCGCTCGAAGCCGTTTTATCGATACCAGTCGGGTCGCCCGGCCGACGCCAAGCTTCCTTCCTTCTTGGGAAAAAGTTGTGATAATCGGCAAACCGGCCGCTACTTTTTTGGAGCAAAGGATGCTTTACGGAACACAAAAATTTGACACAGGACCGACAGGACATGCAAGGGGGACTCAGTATGTGCCGATGCTTATGCCTATAATTAGAAGACTCGATCTGGTACTGTTCATTTTAAAAATAATGACATACTGAAAGTTTCACTGGTAAGCAGGCAAAGCCTTGAATGGTACCAACAAATTTTGTGGAGTGATAATAACACCATTATCAGATGTCGTTATCAATGGGACTTGAAAATGTATCCACCTCTGTACAAGCAGATAGCTTTACCGATACCACTACAGAGCAACTCTCAGAAATCTCTTTGCCTAGCTTATGTATTTGACGAAATGATATGATCTCTTCAGACTTTTTAACAAGAGATCAGTAACTGACGTCCATTATTACAGCCCAAATGTTGAAGAAGAAGACCTTTCAGAAAGGGATCACAATTTACTATCGAAAAAGAGCTCATTATTTCTATTTGTTCAAAAACGAGGGGTATCACATCATGCGCTCATTATTTCTATTTGTTCAAAAACGAGGGGTATCACATCATGCGATAAACAACTAACTGTGCTAATGAGGCATTAATACGCCCTGAAGTTCATAACATAAGTCCACCAATAATCTAAGATGTCAAAAATTACTCGCTCACTTTTGAATCCCAAGCAAGATTCCCTGGTGTGGCCTTAGGTGTTGAGGGTCACTCAATTGCCTAATAATTTCCTATCCACCATGACATTGAGAATTTTCGAGAACAAGGGCAGAGGCTTCCATACCCTTGTAGAATGGATCTAGATGGCTGTATGGATTCCTCACAACGAAATGGTGGTCGAGCACAGCTTACAACTTCTCTCCCGTTCCCTCCCTGCAGGCTGAGAGAACAACGTGATCAGTACTGACGATTACTTGCAGAAAAACCAGGGGCCGAAAATAATGAAAAGGGCGTAACCGTTGGCCCAATCGGTTAAAAGGCTCGCTCTTCGTTTGGTAAGGCGTTCGAAGACTTCACCACTGAGAACATTCCCCAGCATCATCTTCAACAACCGTCTTCACCTTTATTGATCTCGGTAGTCTCAATACACAAAGAAACAGCGGATGCTGATCTTGGAGCTATGCGAAATCGAACTTTACAATAAGTACGAATATGACTTAAGTGTCTACTTTCATTTGAGAGTCCATTAAGATCAAGGCATCTACTCTTCAGTTTTTTTCTTGGAGGATATCGTTCAAATTCAAGTCACAAAGCAGAAACTTCTGAGTTACCCTGACAAACTAGGTAGTAAGAAGCCACCCAGGCTTGATAAGCTTCCCTCTTCCTTGTATGGTTGCCTTTCTACAAACCTAACGGAACCAAATAAAGTTCGCTTTTCAGGGGGTTTAGTTTTCTAGGTTCCTGAAGGTGTTTTGATCGAAATCGAGGGACAGAAAGGAATGACAATGGTCCTTCTCCTCTGAGAAGATCTAATCCCTTGTGCCTGCCACTTATTATTCGTAACGTTGTCTTTTCTTTTTTGAGTAGCATAAGTGGAGCTACGCGGGTGGCCACTCATAACGTGAAATGATGACATTATTGCCTGCCATCCACGCCCTTCTTCCCCTGGTTCCGACCAATTCTGTCCCAAAAACGACCGGCTATGCATCAACGATACATACACATAAAAGAATGTCAAACCATGGCTAATCATCATCACAGATGGCCCGACCACGTGACGCCAACATCACAAGCCTTTTTACGGCGCAACAGTTGGCTGAGTGCCAATACATGATTGCCTTCATTTTTACGGGTGAGTGAGCGCCAGTGAGATGGAGGTGACCGACACGGAGGAGCCTGACAGAAGGACTGCGTCTTTCAAGCCAATGACAATGAAATCAAGACCTTCGGGTGACGGCAGCAACCGTGCCAACTCTTCCCTCATGCTGATATGACATCAGATATAAGAACACCAAACCGTGGCTTCCCCTCCTTATCTGACTGTGGTGTATTGGGATTTTCCACTCGGTATGTTCCCTGATTGACCAGATGCCTCAACAAAATGGATTTTGGACCAATGCAACAATGGGCAATTGCTGGCGGGTG